TACCAGGATAGGCATGGGGCTAGCGGCTGCAAAAGATATTGATACACGTGATGAGTTAGAACGCCTATTAATACGATTGGTGAACATTCCAGACCAACAAAAATCATTAAATGAGGGGGGTAGAACGTTAAATCGACGTAATTTTGAGGGTAGAGAGAGATTTTGTAACTCACAGTATCACAATGGTAGATATCAGGGACGTGATAATATCTCAAATCAAAAAGCCGACGAGAGACAACACTTCAATGATCATGTAAATAGAAAATACGACGACAGATATCGAGATAAGGGGTACCAAGACAGACAGGAAAGTGTAAACCACTACAAATCGTTCAATCAAAGAGGGGGGTCGCAAGAAAAACATAGATACAATATTGATAATGAGCAAAAAGGTAGAAACAATGATAGTAGAGCATGACATAAGGATGCGAGCGATGTAGATAGGATGGTTAATGTTAACATAGTAAATACGGAGAAAGATAAAAACAAAGATTGTTACCAACCGGCAATAGAATGTTTTCAGTTATTATCCGATAGTCTAGGAGTTCGTATGGGTAATAAGTTATTAGGGTTAAATATCACTCGCTCGCTCAATGGCAAAAATAAGATTAATCTTTGTGTAGGGGGTCAAAAGATTGAAGATTTAGGTAAACTAATTGATGAAAATTCAGATAAGTTATCGACAAATGTGATTGTGTGGATAGGAGTAAATAATTTCCTTAGAGGAGATTCAGTAGACTATATAATAAAACAATTTGAGGGTTTATTGCAAAAGTTAATTCAGTTAAGAAAAAATGTTTTATTGGTAGAAATTCCTTATATTCCTAGATTAGGAAATGAAGATAAGACACATTTGGATAAACTAAATGCAGTTAATACTCATTTAAAGGCATATAGTAGATTGAATAAGATAAAGTTAACATAAACAATTTACTTATGTACAATGGTAAGGTGTTGGTTGACTTATATGAGAAAGAGATTTGGATCAACAGAAGGTTAGCTGTAGACCTAGTGCATTTGAATGAAGCAGGCCTAGCAATAATTTATGAAAATATAAAGGACTTTATAAATAAACAGACATACAAAATAAAACCTATACCAGTAAAAACCAACCATAGTAAATTAGTAGGTGGTCCTGAGTTAAGAGAAGAATTGTTGAATGAAGAATATTATAATAGCCTAGTGCCTAATCAAGTTGGTACACCATTTCCCCACAGTAGATGTGATAGTTCACACGTTAACTATATGGGAAAAGGAGTTTATATAATTAGTTTGTCATCTCACGGAAAGAGTCTATATTACTAATAACTGGTTACATCTGCTGTAGGAAAATCATTCAACCGTATTTGGATTGAATAAGTGAATCACCATCTTTGGTCATAAAAATACCGAATTTTATCAGCATATTATATCAGTTTTTTTTGTATTTGATAAAATATCTGATTCTCCAGAAGGCAGAATCATTCTTACTTCGATCTAAGCAATTTTGATTCCTTCTCTTGCCACATCGTATCGACCAATGTATTTAATCATCATGTACTTATTTGCTAATTGATTAACTTCTGGCATAGTTTTGCCTAGGCCGCATCGATCACATAAAGTTGTGCATGTATTTTGTGGATGGGATGGACCATAATTGTAGTGAATTTGACCACAAATCTTGAACATTTGCTGAATCAAATCCATAACCTAGTCTGCCTTGGTTGGCAACAAATTATGCAAATGAGATGAGATGTGATGGCACTGTTGTATTTCCGAATTTTTTTTATGTAGTGAGGTTTAGATGCATTGTTAGACCTAGCTAGATATGTACATCAAAGTAAAAACCCTTTCCCTCTTTTTTAATACCTGAACAGCCATTAACCCTTAGAGTGCCTTGCGAGAAATAAAAGTAACGCTCAAAAAATGCCGATGATTTTTCCCGAAGGTCGCGCTAAAAATGCTGAGCGCGATCTGGCGATTTTTAGGTTAAAATTTCGTAAAAATCGAATTTTCGATATTTCGACCAACGACAATCGATGTATCGCATCTAGTAACTTTCGACTCAATGTTAATATGACAAATATGGGTTAAAAGAATCAGAGTATCCATTCGGTTGTTATGACAACTGTTCGATCATTACGAACCGTCCGGTCAGCCGGACGTTGGCACTTTTGGCTCGTTCTAAAAACGTCCGGTCGGCCGGACGTCGGCACTTTTGGCTCGTTTTAAAAACGTCCGGTTCCCCGGACGTTGGCACTCAAAGGGTTAATTCACCTACTGCACCAAACAATAGATTAAACCTATTCCGTGCTTAGTCTATTCCAAAACTTGGAACACAGCTCACATCCTCAATGTACAAATGATTACATACATCTACAAATGATTATTGAAAGTAGACCAAAAAAGTGCATTAAAGCATAGATTTCTGAACAACAAATCTAAAACATATCATAAATTCATCATTTTGTTCAAACGATAAAAAGCTTGCCATGCAGTGAAGAATAAATTTTGAAATCATAAATAATAATGTAAACATTTAATTTTGACAGTTTCAGTAAATGGTCATAACACTTAACCTTTGAAATACAATTTTAAAATTAACAGCTGGTTCATTAAAAGTAGTGTAAAATTATACATATGGTCATAATGTAAACAGATCTGTTGAGGGGACCTTAAAGGCCTCTGGGGAAGAGCCCCAAGGGAATTTACCTCGTTTCTCTTTTGATGGCTCACCTACAGACCATAATACCTTTCTTTAGAGACCTCTACCAAGTTTCTAGGCCCAGCCGTTCTCTGAAATTAGCTGTGACAAAAACCCGTTTTTCCTCCATAAGAATAACATGGTATGGGAATTTAAAGGCCACTGGGGCAGAGCCCCAAGGGAATTTACCATGTTTCTCTTTTGATGGCTCGTTTTGTAGATTTGAATAATCGCAATATTCTGTATTTGTTATGATTTGAAATAGTGCCACAATGTTTCCACAGAGTGCAGCACAGAAAACTATTTTACTTTTGAATAAGTCCAAATACTGTATATTAAACCCCAATCGCAGCATACCTGTGCACTCAACAACGTTTAAATTCTCCAATGTTAAATATGTAAACATAAAACACTTTATCAAAGTAAAACAATAAAAGGGATGGCAATGCCTTAATATTTTTATCTTTTGTTATATACCCACACAATCTAACATAAATTATTAAGTGAATATTAATTGTGCGTGCTAACTCAGATATCAAATGCCTCTCAATTCGTCATTAACCCACCACATTACTGTCATTAAAAGAAGGAACTCCAATAATACTAATGCGAAACTTAAATCCACCGAAGCTGTGCAACGTTACCAGACTGACAATAAAAAAAATGACACCAAAATTGATTGTAGCAAAAATTATCAGTGGTAAGTTTAAAGGAGAATAGTCTTAATCCCAAGAATACTGATGATTTCATCCGAATTACCCTCTGAATTTAAGCAAGTACAATTTCCTTTGTGTCTTGCTTTTGCAATCACCATTATAAGGCACTAGGGCAATACCTGACTATCGTCGGTTTAAATTTAGAAACTGCATGCTTTTCACATGGACAGCTGTATGTTGCGTGCTCACTTGGTGGTAGTTGCGCCTAAAAACTTATATATTTATACACCTAATGAAAAAACCAAGAACAGTGTTTATCCACTGGCAATTAAGTAAAATATTCTATTTTTATTTTTGGTATTTTTATTTTTATTCATCGTAAAGAACAAATTACCATTTAAAATAATAGTTGTTAAGCGCAGCAACGCGCGCCGGGTAACTGCTAGTTCTATATATTAATAGGCAAGCATGTTTATTGAAAACCTTTTTTCTCAGCTCCTGTGCATGGCATGTAAAATCTACGCATACTGTTAGAAAGATATTTTTGCCAGTAGATGTGCAGAATCCCATTTTAAATTAAAATAAGCACAAAAAATGAATTTAAACTTTTAAAAAAATTAACATGGGCCTTATTTGGGTTGCCATGTTGGTGACTAAACTACAAAAAAAAATACCCCCGCCGCAGCAAACCTGCAGACTAAGCGAATTTCCATTTGACTGATTGGATTTACACTGAAATGTCTACTTAAAATATAACATTTATTCCCTATTTAAATAGAATTAGTTTAACAAGTACTTAGGTTTGCCGCATCAGGGAGGGTAAAACTGTTTTTTTTTTTTTAATGTTAATAGTTAGTAAGAAATAAAACATTTTCCAAATTTGACCAAAATATGTTCATGAACGGATGGTGTTTTTGGCCTCTAGGGACCTCAAAACGAAAAAAAAATCGGTCCCACGTCCAGGCCTTACCATGAGTACTACGGTAATAGCTTATTCCCTATATGGGAAATTCGCTAAAAACTGAAAATCAAAACAAGATTCCAAAAGAAATTCAAAATAAATTCCAATTACATGTTAAATTTACAGCGTGGGGTGAAAATAGAGAAGTTTGCACAATACATACTTTTGGTTGAGTTTTTGACCACGGGCCCTGCTCTAGTTAATAGACCTAATGAAGAATTCTTTTTTAAACTCTGTGTCCTTGCTAAACAGGAACGCTCAAGTTTAAGTGGTTTTTTTTTTTATACAAATAAGTTTTATTTTCTTAATCCTGTAATTTTGTACAAACCTATACTAATGCAAAATACTGTTAAGTAGCCTATCCTAAAAATAAAATAGGGTACCGATGGTACCGGAACCGGGAATCGATTTTGGCTAGGAAACGCTACCGATACCGACTTTGAACAACTTTGAATTTTGAAAAAATGGTACCGACCACTAATACATAAATATAATACAATTTTAAAGAAAAGTGTTTAGGCCTCTAGGGACATCAAAATGAAGAAGAAGATCGGTCCGGGTCTAGGTCTAACAGTGCAACCTACGATAATAATGACTTCCCTATAGGGAAATTGACTAAAAGTCATTTAATTTCCTTCTACATTATGTCAATACTTAAGAAAATGGTCTCACAATATGGTAGTATGAACAAATGTATTACCTGTTTGTTAGTCGAGGTTCATCAAAGATGAGTTTATTGGGTTGCTTGTATACAAGAAACACATATCTATGAAGACCTAAAACACAACATATATGATAAAAGTTACATTAGCCCAGGAATTTTAGAAAAAATAATGCCGTAAAATAGAACAAATTAATAACTAGCTGATTTTTTTTGTGGTGTTAGTATGTTATTAGGTTAGTATTTCCTGAAAGTTCTCCTCACTTCCTCCGCTTGCTTTACCCTGTACAGGGTTAGATAGGGTCTAAGTGACATAAAAATACAAAAATCGTCATTGATTGACACCAATGTCACCAAATTTAATGGTTTTAGTCTTAAATCATTCAGAATGAAAGTGGTCATGCTAAATAATTACCACAACAATATTTCATAGCACTTTGTCATTTTTATTTTATATAAGTATTCCTATTTTTAGAATAAAAAAAATATATACAGTAGAACTCCAATTATCCGAACTCCAATTAACCGAATCTCCAATTATCCGAATCGCTTATTTCAACAATTTTAAAAACTTAAAGCTACAGTAATAAGTTTTGCAAAATATCAAAGAATTGTTATTAAACACATTTAGCCAATTTTGGACTTTGATTGAACACTATTGACTTAATAACATGTATAGAACACTTGTACTATGAGCATTGTAAATTGTAAAAATGTTCTGATTTAAATTATTATTAATTAAAAGTTCACTTAGTACCGAAAATGAGGATTTTTCTTTAAAATTCCCAGAATTCCGGTAAAACTCCGATTATCCGAATTTTTGATTATCCGAATGGGGTCTGGTCCCTATTGATTCGGATAATCGGAGTTCTACTGTATATATATAAAATAAATAAAACTCTTGCATAGTTAGTACATATTGGTGCATATTAGTACCCTTGTGATGCTAGTACATAGGTCAAAAGAAAACAATGGCAAAGGAAGGAGAACAATAAGTACTGGTGATATTGTACTAATAGGTGACGATAATATCTAAAGAATAAGGCCACTGGCCCTAGTGTTGGAGACAAAGTGTTTATATGAGGAAAGGATGGAGTCTGCAGAGTAGCCAAGTTAAAAACAGCAAAAGGAGAACTAACAAGACCCATCCAGAGACTTTACCCCATGGAAATACATTCAAAAGACATGTCAAGAACAGGATGTACATATTGAAAAAGAAGAAAATTCATCAACACCTACAGAATCAAGAAGAGGGAGGAAGATAAAAATCCAGAGAAAATGGACCTGTAAACCCAAAAGAAACATGTAAATACTGTAGTTTTGTTTGAAATTTTGATAATGTGAAGCAAAATTCAAAGATGGGGAGGATGTTGGAAATTGAGTAATGTTTTATATAGTACAAAATCAAGATTAATCAACATCAATTACAATAATTTAGGGGAGAGAAAGGAAGCAGGCTTACCCTAAACTACCAAAGGCCAAGATAAACCCATAGAAGGCGCATTTCCATGTGACATGGCAAGATGCAAAACCTGCCCAGAACAACATTTACGAGCACATCAACAGGAGAAACCTTCAAAATAAAAGGACACAATACATGCTCCACAAAAAATGTTGTATATCAACTTCTATGCAACCATTGCCCATCTCAATATATTGGACTTACCACCACCAGTTTTAGAACAAGAATTAACAATCATAGGACATACATAAAAAACAACCATCCAGATAAACCAGTGCCTATTCATGCTGCCAAAACAGTTGTTTCAATTCAAAAATAATAAAATCCTTCTCTTAATACTTTACACTTTCTTATTAAATGACGACCATACAAAGTAGGTATTTTAAGCCAAGTATGAATGGAGATGAGTGTAGGATGAATGGCACGATCTTGTAGTCTTGTTAGTGACTAAGGCCGACATTCCTTAAACACAGCTGATAATTAATAGCCCATACAGCTAATGGCAACTAAGGGACCTACAGTTTGTAGTGGAATCCGAACCACATTTTTTTTGCCTTGGTATATACGAATTGGTTCAATTATCAGGATAGTACTACGGATAGTCGTAGTACTCCCTCCTACCTGTAACCCATCACAACTAAGGAGATGGGATCTTTTTATCAATGGTTCACAAAATCCAGGGAGCCCCCAAACCTCAATCTCAGATAGGCCAAACATTTCCCTTTTCCCTTTCCACCCCTAAAAAGCAGGCTTAGACTAAGTGTAAATAAATTCAATGACTCATTTAACCTGTAAATATTCATTTGTAAATTTATAGTGTGTTGGCAACACTGCTTCCTTACCAGTGAAAGACTCGAAATATCTAATGTGACTCTCCATGTTGAGAAAGGGGCCAGTGGCCTCGAATTATGCAGTGTTTATTTAAGTTTTGTGTTTTCTTCTGTGTTCTGTAGTGAATGAAGTGGGATGCCTACATTTCTTAAGGTAAGCCTGCTTATCCTATCCTTTCTCTCCCCTATTTCAAGGCAATAAGCCCTTTCTCTTCAAAACTTAATATAATAATTTGTTAGTCTTTGTTTTTCATTAATAGATGTTTTATGTTTTAATTTATTTAAAACAATGAGAAGAATCGTTGCAAGAATTTTAAGGGAACACAACAATTTAGTAAAAGAGAAATGTTTAATTATTTGTTAATGTTTCAGAATTAAATCAGTTTATTTATAGTAAAACATAACTAGGTGTACAATGCAGTTGTCTGCTTGCAATATTGAGCGGAGCGGAGCTAGCATCCAATGCTTTTCTGAAGTCAATGCTACATCTGTTTCTCGTAAATGATATATACTTGCAGTATCCAATGTCAATATCATGATGTTACAGAACAGATGTCATTCCAGGAGATAGGTGGACTCCCGCTAAATGCTGTTATCGCCCTCCCACAACTGAGTGGAGGGGGGAGGTGCTTTTAGTGAGTATGCTTGAGGTCAGATGGATGTGAGAGTCCCACACCCCCCTCAAGGACTGAGGGCGTGCATAACTGTATTTTACACCCCCCAATAAAAAACAATAAAAAAATGTACCATATTTATTATTATTCTTTACTTACTTAAGTTGATGTAACAAATTTGCATTTATATACTGACATTTATTTCCTCCAGACACTTTAACTTTAAAATATGTTTTGATGATGTATGATCGGTAATGATCGGTGTATTATAAAATTAATAAATCGCCAATATATATTTTCAATTGCAAAGACCGGAAAAGCTTAACTTTTTGTTGGTTTGGTTTGAAGTTTGAAGATTACATTTCCTTTCCGTTCAAATAACATAAAAACAAAATTCCGTTAACTAATAAGGAAATGATGTTGGCAGGTAGCCTATCAAGAAATAACATTTCTAGGAAGTCAGTAATTTGAAACTAGGCTGTATTGCTGCATTTAGCCAACCAAACGTGAGTGTTGGCAATACGCTTTAAGCCTACTGTATTAAAAGTATCCTTATCTTAGGAATGGAATGTCACATAGCTTTTATTGATGTCTCATTTTATTTGTGAAAGTTAAGCAACAAATATGAGACGTCCTTTAATGTTTTATGACAATTGGTTTTGTTTTTGGCATTTTGTAGTAAGGTAATTTTATCTCCTTTATTGGATCGCGCTGGGCGCTCAGGCTCGTGTTTTGAAGTAAACAAACCCCCACTTCCTCACAATCGGGTAGAGATAAAGATTTACTTCTCTCTCTTTTTTTATATATCTATCTCTCTTTCCCTCAACTACTCCCCGTCCCAAAAGCATTCACTCACACCGTGTCATCATTTTGTTTCATTCTTATTGCGTTTCCACAACACACTTGAAGGTAAAGAGGGTTTGGTTTGATAAATGGATACAACAAAAAAACTTATACTACTATTTTTTCCTACAGTTACCTAACAATGTACATGTTCTCTCACTGATTTGAGAAAGCAAAGTGGCCAATTCGCTCATCAGTGAGACAATGTTAACATTGTCTCACTCTAATTACTTTGTCTCACTCCAGATTTGCAACGTGAAGGCATGAAATAGTGAGCGCGTAACATGCAGGCAACGTCGTATGCGCGCGAAGTACGTTGGCAGCACTGGCTGTAAATCAGCTGGTCAGCTGTTGTACTGTTGTATTTGTCACTTCACATTAAATGTTATATTAAAAGTTCACTTCTGTGTAAAAATAGGTTATGTTTCTTCACCAATTTATTTGTTTTATGGTAACTGTAGGAAAAGTATAATGTGCAACTCGAGTTCAAAGTACAATTGCCTCACTCGAGAAACCATTCCTCACTCGCCTACGGCTCGTGAGTAAGGATTTCTCTCGAGTGAGTCAATTGCTCACTTTCTCACTAGTTGCACAAATAACTATTTTCTAAACAATAGAAAGGAAAGTACAGGGTGTTTTTAAAAGAATGCCGGGATGTCAAACGGTCATTGCTCGAGGACTATTCAAGATAATTTAACGATTTAAACGTCAAATCGAAGGGAAAATAATAAAGTTTTTTTTTATTCTTTGATACAATTCAGAATGATTTAATAAAATTCAGATTTTCATCAATCTTATATGAGCGTAAAACTGGCAAAGTCTGTACGCTTAGGACGAACGGAGGGTTTATCTGATGTCATAACTGAATCATTTCGGCACAAAGACTCTATCTTTTATAGATAACATCATAAAGTAACCAATTTAGGTTTGTTCAACTTAAGACTTCGTCGGGCAATCAGCTTTTTGGGCTTCTGATGCAGAATTGTCGGATTTATTCGACTATGTCATCGCTTGTTTTTAGCCAGCCAGGTGAATGTCTTTTCAAAACACTTCGGTGCCACGAAACTCATTAATCCAGCTTCAAGCTTCTTTAGTTTAATTTAGCAAATGGATATAAACTCTGCGAACCACAGATTACAATCTGTACCTTCGGTTGCGCTGTAAACGTCATACTGGCGACTGGCGTATGAGTCACAATAGCGGCCTACCACCGCGCACCTGTTTTGCGCATGCCGAGGTCAAAGTTTCCTCCCTTTCTACACGGGAAACAAAACTTAGTTATTTTAGCTTCAATTTGATGTATAAAACGTTTAGTTACGTACCTTGAATAGCACCCAAACAATTATCACTTAAAATCCTGGCATTCTTTTAAAAACACCCTGTATAAGGTATATATCAATATACCAAATATTGGTATATATCAAATATTGGCATAGGATTCAAGCAAAATAATTGCAAGCACAATTAAAAGTCGTCGGCCACAATACAATACGAAGTTATACATTGATACTCATTCAACGGTATCAATTAACAATTTTACAATAAAGTTCATCTGTTAAACTCAGTTTATCGTTTTTGATGAGTATATTAAGGAATCTGAAAAGTAAACAAACAATGCAACAACAGTATACTTGTTTAAATGGTATGATTCCTGGGTTTTTCCCGACACAGAAAATTCCAGTTTTCCTGGTATGTGGACAGCTTGTTGCTCTATTTGTGTCCGCGGATCTTTGTGTAAAATAAAATAGAATTTTCCATTGACATATTTTAATTCCACTTTTTCTTGCCGTTACGGAATAAAGACCTATAATTTGATTCCTATTCTATCATTTTACAACTTCCCAGGCGTCCACAATTCTGACAAAAAAAATCACTTTACAAAATTAAATAGGTAGGCTATATATAATAGACTAGCTATGTGCCCGTTCTACGCACGGAGATCTTATCGTAGTCAGTTAAAACCATCTTATATTAAGCACAGCAGTTGGTTTGCATACTTACAGATATGCTGACAAAACTATTATATATAAAGCTTCGCAAATACAGTATCTGACAGTTTTTAGCCAAAACTAATGCTTCGCAATTAAATTTCACCCGGATCTTGTTGGTCCATATGTTAAATCCAATTATTAAACTAAAAAATGCTTTATAGATCTATGTGGCATCTGAGGTAGGCCTATAATTGAAAGTTACTTTCCACAATGGTTAAAAGTATTTAAGGTACTACCTCAACCTCACAATTTAACACTTTATTCGGGTTGACATTTTCATTATCAAGGTGCTCTTGTCCATTCCGCGAAACACTGAGAAATAAGGACATTAATGCATTACCAACAGACATACACAGAAAAATACAGAACTTAATTTTAACCCTTTAAGCGTAACAAAGTAGGCCTACATATAAAATTAGTAGGCTATTTGAAATCTTTGTTAATGTTATAAAATTTTATCATAATAATTTATATTTGCTTGGACCGAAGATGACCCGAAATGCTGTCGAAATTCTATATGAATCGGCTTGCTAAATGAAATGAAGTACTATAGACGATTTAGATTGGTAATTTATAATAAAAATTACCAAAATAGGCCACGAACTATTGATACATAAACAACGTTTAAAGCGTTTGAACAATTCATGATGGTTTGCTGAATAAATGTTTTACTAAAATGCGTTATCGTTTTCTTAGCATGAACTAACATTTTGGAATCCAGACAGAAAAAGCAAAACTTATAAAGTTAAGATATCAATTAAATTGAATACGCCTGTAATAAATAAGGTGCAACACCAACGATAACTAATTTGTAAATTACAGTGATAATTATTATATTACAGGTAAAAATTATTCTTGCTGCTACCAACGGTTCAAAGGAAAAGAACCAGTACCAAAAACCAATGTTTACAGTTAAGAACTATAGTACATCCGACCAATTATATGCGTTAATCAAGGTTATTGATCTCTTGGTTTTGGATTTTCTCGTATAAAAAGTTATCGGCAATCAAAGTTATTTCCCATTAATTGCTTTATTTGTACATAACTTTTAATGTAAGCTTATCGGTGTCAGTTTGAAAAAAAAACAACCTTATACAACAACTTTCTGTTATTTAATAGATAATTTTGTATTAACATTTTGGAAATTCCACTATTTTAAAGAACAATATTACGTAACAGAATAGATTTGAGCTCTCCTAATGTTTTTACTACTTCCCTAGCGCCCATAATCTCCACAAAAAGAATCGCCTAACAAATTAAAAATATTAGGCCTTGATAAATTAAAAGTATTAGGCCTCGATTAACTATCAAATACAGAAATGTTTAACTATCTGCTATATTGATGGTCTCAAAGGTCAATGTTGATATAATATGTTCAAAGAACCTAAAATTATTTATATAACATGACGTTATATACTATGAGTTAGTATCAGAGATTATTTTACCTGTTCCCTGTGGGGGTCCAGAGCCAACATATTCAGACAGGGTCTCCCCGGCAGAAACGTTGTGTCCAGGAATGTTGACAACTAACCAGTGATGCCACTCTCGGAACTTAGGGTCATTACGGCTCGGAGCATCGGGATCTGCAAGAAAAACAGTCCAGTTAAACTTGTTTCGCTTTAACTACATAACCTCTAGAAGTTTTTTGTTGATTTAAAAAATATTTATCGAGTAAAATACAAAAAACCAAAATGCGTATTAACCAAAGGGGATATGACACCTAAGTGCCATCTTCTGTCACAGAAAAAGGGCGTAAGTTCTAGTGACATGGTAAAGGGGAGTAAGTGTTACCTGAAAAAAAATTCTAAGAAAAATTAATTTAGGCTATCGATGAATTTACAATTTCATCGATTGCTAATTTCCTATTTTCACGCACAACTTGTACTAGCTCAATGTTAATGTCATTAATTGCTTTTGAAGGACGTCCATCATGAGGGTTATCATCAACGTTTTCACGGCCTTCACGAAACCACTTGTGCCACTCATAAACTTGACTTTTCTTCATCACCTCTTCACCATAAGCTTGAATTATCAACTCAAGAGTCTCACTAGGTGGTTGAGCTACTTTTGAATCTAGTGTTTTTCTGTTACTACTTGACTTGTCTTTTACTTTCTTCTTCAGAGTAGATTTTGGTGGGGTAATATTTTTTTGTAGAAGTAGGTGTGGCTGAAAAATGTTTTTTTTGTCCAGGCTGGTGAGAAGTTTTCAGTGTTTCAGTCAGCTACAGGCTGTTGGATAATACGGAATAACTGTTGTTGAAGGTTATTTTTTGTATACTGTCCCTAGTTGCAGCTGGAGAAGCTCTTTTAGGATTTTGAAAAGGACAATCAACTTAATTTTTTTCCCTTGCACCATCAGTGAAGACAGAGTTTTATTATCGATGGAGTTTTCTATTATATGCTAATGAACATCTTTTTTTTAATGCAGTCAGTTTCATCAAAAGGTGGAATGGAAAATTCTCTGAAACACTCGTTGTTTTTGTACATTTGTAAAGTGTGTCCTGTACCAAGATCATATAAACACTACAGTCATATGAGTTGCTTTGACTGGGACCCTGTACTATTTTAAAGTCTAAGTCCGAGCTTAGAGTAAGAAAGTTAATTATCTTCTCAGCAATAGCTTTGCTTTGCTTAATGTTTTTGAGAGGAATAGAGTTGTAATAATAAAAGCTTTTAGTTGTTCTGTTTTATATCAGTAAGCTCCAATGTGAACCACTTTCACTTTCAAAAACCATTGAATCATTAACTTTTTGCGCTCAAGATGGCCGCTTGCTTGGTTCTAGTGTGAATTGTGCTCCAATTAAACTGCTTTTTTCCTATGCTTAACTCACTCGTATAATATATATTGCATTGTTTCTGCTTGGAGCCGTGAGTTTTATGTGGCCTTCCGTCTTTATAAATAAAAAATCTAACAGCTAATTATGAAAAATCTAATCTAATTCACTAGCCTACTGAATTTTGAATTAACAGGATTAAACCAGCTTAACATCTCAAACCCATCTGTCATTCTGTCAACCACCGTATGTCACTCTTGTCAGTATCAACGTCACTAACACCGATTCGTTTTGTCTGGTCGGCAGCTCAAAATCATTTGCTAATGAATATATGAAACTTTTTTTTTCACTGCCATCTTGATCAATTGTTGTTACTACAAATAGTACTATATATAATGCCTACCAACAAACGCATTTAAGGATTTGTCTTTCCCGCTTGCATCTGTATTGGCACGGACTTATCTGTTTCAAATCGGTCTTAAGAAGCTATACTATACAAAAATCAAATCACCACGATGAAATGTATATTCCAAAACTACTGGCTATAAGTGGTTAATAAACATCTGTTCTTATTTGTTATTTGTATAATATCCTGGGATGTTTAATTTTGGCCTGGATCCGTGAATCTGTCGAGGTAGTAGTTGTATTAAGGATTTCTACGAATTGTTTGTGGTCACATTTTTGTAACAGCTGAGTTTTTATGTCCTTGTCATTAAGTCCACGTATGAGTTGTAGTCTTAATAGCATGTCTAATACAGACTTTCCACAAGCTTCACAATTAAATTTGCAGTTTGTTGATAGCCTTTTTAGTTCTGTAGCAAAGTTTGAAATTGATTCTCCATCTTCTTGTATTCGACTTATAAATGTGTGTTGTAAAGCCAAAATACTTTTCTTAGGATCTAGGAAGTTGTCAAGTAAGGTTACAAGCTCTTCATACTCTTTATTCATAGGATTGTCTGGTGTACATAGGTCGTATAGTTTTTGATGTAGAAGAGGTGTCGAGGCATGTAAAGGTGTAAAAGTCTTCAATTTAGAATCATTGGTACCTTTCAAAGTCATTAAGACCTCCAGTCTTCTGGCAAAATTAGAAAAGTTTTCTCTTTCATCATAAGGAGTAAAGCTCAAATTTGAAGTAGGAAGGACTGGAATCGGTGTATCAGTATGTAGATTTGCATTGAAACAATGACTTTGATTAGGAATAGAGTTATGCTGTATATTAGGCGTATGAATCATTTGGGCATCCATTAATCTTGTTTTTGTATCAATCAGCATGTATTCAATACTTTCTCTGCAAGTCAACTCTTGTTCTAAATCTTCTTCTTCTGTATAGAAGTGGATCTTGTCTTGAATTAGGTCATACTTTTATTTAATCTCAGCTTGACTTTCCGTGTCCGGACTGACTGATTAAATCATCTTCTTCCAAAATCTTGAATCACCTTGAATAGCCTTGTCATTTGCTCTAAAAATATCGTCCTCCAGACAAATTGTGCCTATGTCTCTGCACAGTAGAAGATGCTCCGGGGTTTGGGTGAGACCACAATCACACTTGTCTTCATCTACATATCCCCACTTCTTGAGGTTACTCTTGCACCTTGAGACACCCGTCTTTAATCTCTTGAGAGCCCGCCATTCATCATACGGAAGCCAGTGCCCAGGTGCCAGTTCTTCCTTTGCCGTAAACTTCGATATTAGGGGGATTTCCTCCTCCCATAAGGAGTCGCATAATCTCAGCTAACAAGTCAAGTCTAGTTTTGATGTCATTGATAGAAAATGTTCCTATATCCCATCCTCGTCGCCATTTGTTAGATATTTTAATAATGTAACATTTAAATGTAGTAACTCAATTTTTCTTTATTTAATCACAATTCTATTATGTAACTAAATCATCATATAAACAATAATAAATAAGAACAGATGTTTATGAACCACTTATAGCCAGTAGTTTTGGAATATACATATCATGAACATTGAAGGAGCCTGTATTGTTTGTATAAAAAAGGTACTGGATGATGAAAAAGCCATAGGTTGCGACAGTCACTGTGAACAGTGGTTTCACATTGATTGTATCAAGATGCCACCTAATGAGTATGCAAAGCTTGCTGGAAATAAGAAACTGAAATGGAACTGCAACCGGGTTGATTGCGATGAGGCTATCAAGGGTCCTATGGTTCAATTAATAACGCAAATAGCTGAACTCACAGGGAAGATGGATCAGCTTATTAAGAAAGTCGATTCACTCAAGAATGACGATATTGTACTTATATGTGAGGACATAAAGGATCTTAGTGTTAAGATTTATACTCTTGAGCCTAGACTTGCTGCCTCTGAGACTAGGATTTCTGCCCTGGAGGAGAGTTTAAATACGATGAGCAATCCTGTTGGTCATACTAATACGGAATGTCTCATTGGGGAGCTTAATGACAGGTCTCAGCGAGCTGCTAATATTCTAGTAGACAATTTGAAGGAACCCACTGGTGCATCCCAAAGGAAAGGCAAGACCAAGACAACCAACATGTTAAAAATATAGTCTCGGCCTAGGATGTCAATCTTGATACTGACCGGATAAGATCTTATAGGCTTGGGAAATTCGTACGTGGCAAGGTTCGCCCTCTTAAAGTTGTGTTTGGATCAGCTAATGATGCAAAAACTTTCAACATAAATTACTCTCAGGACGTTGTCTCTACTCTTGATGCTGCATATGAGGGTATGTCTATAGGGAGAGATTGTACGGTAAAGGAACAAGAATACCTGAGGAAAATTAGGAGTGAGCTTGAAGAACGTAAGGAAAAGGGAGAAGAAAGTCTAACCATGAAATACATCAATGGAGTTCCAAACATTGTGAAAGGTTCTTCAAAAAAACGAGTAAAGTCTGAAACGATGTCGAAATTAAATATCAACTTCCAGAATGTAAATGGACTGAGAAGTAAATTGAATCAGTTGAAGCTTTCTATAATAACCCATGATTATGATATAATTGTTTTAGTGGAAACCAACTTACTACCTGAGAGACTTACTATCTGATTCAGACCCATTATATCTTACAATAAGGCAGCGTCCACTAATATAGCTCCGAAACCACTTCAGCATAGGCCCAGCCACTCCCAAAATACCAAGCTTTGCCATAAGGTGATCATGGCTGATTCTATCGAATGCCTTCGAGAAATCTATATACACACTATACACCTGGTGGTTTCTGTTGAAAGCTGAGATAATGTCGTCATGGTATGTTATTAAGTTGGTCGTTGAAGATCTGCCACTATAGAATCCATGTTGAGCTAGGTAGACAGAAAACTTCTGGCAAAGAAAGACAGCCGAGTAAGAACCAGAGACTCAAACACTTTCGCAAGCGTTGGCTGAATCGCAATAGGCCTGTAATTCTTGATATTTAAGGGATTACCACTCTTTAAAATTGGTACAACGAAGCTTGTCTTCAGGCAGTTAGGAAAAACACCAGATGAAAGAAATGAATTAAAGAAGATTGTTATGTGCGGTGCAAGAATACAGCTACGGTATTTGAGTAGCGAAGGAGGAATCTCATCGGGTCCTGCTCCTTTATTAGCATTCAGAGAGGACAGGACAGCTTCAACTTCTTCACATGATACAGAAAAACCAGTAAGAGATGAGAGGGTTGTAATTGAGTCTTCATATGAGGGTGACGTTGATGGTGGTCTAAAGACAGACGAGAAATGTTAAGCAAAAAGTCTGCAGATGTGCTGAGGTGTGTCGGCAGTTTCATTATTCAGGTACATCGAAGATACAGCCTTGGAAGTCTTCTTGGTGTTATTAATGTGACCCCAGAAGGCCTTAAT